TGTCGGCGGAGCAATTGTCGCGTTTTGCGGAGCAATTGACGGCGGAGCAATTGTCGGCGGAGCAATTGTCGGAGGAGCAATTGTCGGCGGAGCATCTGTCGGCGGAGCAATTGTCGGCGGAGCAACTGTCGGCGGAGCAACTGTCGGCGGAGCACCTGTCGGCGGAGCATTTGACGTCGGAGCAAATGTCGCGGAGCAAATGTCGCGGAGCAATTGTCGCGTTTTGCGGAGTAAATGTCGGCGGAGCAATCGTCGGCGGAGCATGTGTCATGGAACCTGTTAGCGTACCTGTTGGCTAACATAATATTAAGCAAATAATTACCGTTGGTGAAGGTGATGGGACAAACTATCACTTCCGAGGCGATCTGGATGTAGCTATCTTCCGAACGAAGCTGAGGAAAGATAGCGTATACATTCAGATCACCGAGGAAGTGGTAGTTTGCCATCGCCTGAAATCAAAAGGTGATTATTTGCTTTATATTCCACATCGGAAACATTTAATTTCTTCCGTCATTTTAGAGCAACAAATCATCAATTAACAGCTAGCAAACGGTGTACGACACGTACAGTGCATGCAGTACTGTTGTGTACGTATTACGTACATATACGCAACGTATACAAGAAAGTGCGTTGCACTAAAATAGTACTACTATCTACACAGTGCAACGAACTTTTCTTCTCCCATCAATGATGGGCGAACTATCTTTCATCAAGTGATTTACTTTTGACCAATCGTAGTGCAAGATTCTTTGTATGTGGAATAGAAATGTTATTAGTCCATCTATAATCATGAATAAATAAATGAATAAGAGTGCTTCCATAGAGGGCTTCATTCCCGTCTGTGTATTGTACTGAAAGACTGTCGGCGCGTTGATAACAAGTTTGATGAGTGTGTGTGTTAGAGGGGGTGTTTGAAATTTCGTGTGGGAGAATTGAAGAATGATATCGCCCTTTCCCTCTATAGCCGCCACTGGTAGGAACAAAATGACATTTAAACAACGGGTTATCGTAACAACATCCTTCAAAGCGCTCATGCAAATGAGAGTGCTGTGCAGCGCCGATGGCTGCTCCCACAGGCTCTCCCTTTCTTGGCATTTTTCAAGCTGTCAGAGGAGACTTCTTATATTGATTTTTATACCAGATCATAGAGGAAGTGGTATAGAGAAGAACTATGGCTCCTGTCAGAAATATGAAGTCACCGTTTCTTTGCATTTATCGTTTGATTTTTGCTGTCATTTTCTATCATCATGCACCAGTTCACCATTGGACTTCAACACATAGCAGTGCAGCTCCTTTTCATCCAATTGTGTTCTTTCAGACTGCCCCGCCTACCATTCTTTTCACTGGACTCTCAGAGGATAAGCTGTCTATTATCAACCTGGACTCTTTTGATTTGAATCAAGAGTCTCCCCATTTAGTCATGGCTTTGAATGTGAAGCTTATTCAGTACACAGCATTGTATCTTCACATCTTGCGTCCCATTGATGATGTTTGTAAACTGGACAGTGAAGTGTGCCTCAGGATCAAGTCTCTGCACTTATCACGTAAAACATGCACTGTTCATGTAGATCAACGTGGGTCATGTTTGAGATACTGGAAGGGTGGCAAACGACGACGATGGAGAAAACGTGGGAGGAGAAGTGGCAAATGTATAAAATGCCTTCAACCAATCCCAGTCGTGGTCTCTACTTCAGACCAATACCCATGGTACCGGCCTGTAAGACGTATATCGCCGCGTCCAAATCCGAATCTTATCTATCTGATTCAATCGCAGCAAACGCCTAGGTGTACTGCTAATGGATCTCGATCTGGTCAGGCTCGTCTCAGAATTGGACACTGGAATGCACGCTCCATGAACAACAAAACGACAATGATTTGTGACTTGATCATAAGCAACGACTTAGATCTTCTGATTGTGACCGAATCATGGCTGAGGGGAGGTCTTTATGATGATCCTATCATTGCAGACGTTGTAGCGACTTTGCCTGACTTTCATGTGGTACATGAACACCGCCAGAGTCGGGGTGGTGGTATATGCATCATATATCGCTCTTCTTTGAAAATCACTAGAGACTGCTCTACAAAATTCTCATCTTTTGAGCACATGGATATTCTGGTCCGCATCTCTCCTTCTGTGGTTTTTAGGACATTTGCCATTTATAGGCCTCCCCCATCGTCTACAAACAAACTGACGTATGACAATTTTGTGGCAGATTTTCCGACACTGTTAGAATCTGTAACAATCGATCAGCATCAGCTTGTGCTCATGGGAGATTTCAACATCCATGTTGACGACGAAACTGACAGAGATGCTAGGAAATTCCTCGATATCTTAGACACATTTGATCTTCAGCAGCATGTAAAAGGTGCAACTCATCGAGCCGGTCATACCTTAGATCTCGTGATTTCCAGAAAGGTTGATCATCCTATTGTGGCCATGGACGTCGTACCAGGACTTCCTTCCGATCACTCGGCAGTCCTGACTACGCTCAATTTTGTAAGTCCAGCAACTTCCAAGAAGCGGATAACTTGTCGGAAACTTCGGGACATTGATGTGGTTCAGCTTAGGAATGACATACAAACCTCATTGCTTACACTTCCTACAGCCAAAGATGCATCTGACATGGCAGAACAATACAACATCGTACTAAAGGAGCTACTTGACAAGCATGCGCCTGAGCGATCAATACTTGTCACAATCAGACCAAAAGCTCCCTGGTACACCAATGAAGTTCGTGAGGCAAAACGATCTAAACGGCGTGCTGAGCGTAAATTGAAAAGTTCTGGTCTGGAAGTTGATCGTCAACTGTTCAAAGAGGAGTGTAAATCCTACAATGCAGTCTTATCTCAATCAAAATCTTGTTACTTGACCGACGAGATTGCGCAGTGTGACACCAAGCATCTTTTCCAGCTTGTTCAGACGCTTTCCCGCCCAAAGTCACAGCATCTTCTACCGGACCATGAGTCAGACATAAATCTGGCTAATGATTTTGGACAATTTTTCTACAACAAGATTCAAGACATCGTCACCAATCTTCAGGGGATTACTAGCCGCTCATCAGATTGTGAGGATGGAGTGACGACGCACAAACTCTCTTCTTTTGAACCTGTATCAGAATTGGAGGTGCAAAAGGTGATCCGTGAGAGTTCTTCTAAATCGTGCCGACTTGACCCAATACCAACTTGGCTCATGAAAGATTGTATTAATGAGCTTGTACCATTTGTAACTGAACTTGTTAATCTGTCCCTGTCTTCTGGAGAGGTACCTACAGCGTACAAGACATCACACGTCACTCCTCTCTTGAAAAAAACATCTTTGGATCGAAATGAGTTTAAAAACTACAGACCGATCGCGAATCTTCCTTTCATCGCCAAGACTCTAGAGAGGATTGTAGCTGCTCAGCTCAGGACACACTTAGAAGACAATGGTTTATATCCTGTCATGCAATCCGCATACCGTCAGTTCCATTCGACAGAAACAGCCCTCTTGAAGGTTGCCAACGATCTCTTGTTAGCCATTGACAAAGGACTTGAAGCTATTCTTATTCTGCTAGACTTCTCGTCTGCGTTCGACACGATCGATCATAGCATGATGATACAACGTTTCTGTAATAAATATGGATTTGAGGGAGTCGTCCTGCAGTGGCTTGCCTCCTACTTGGAAAATCGATCTCAGGTCATCGTTCTCAATGGTGTCCAGTCCGAAGCATTTCCACTAACTTGGGGAGTACCACAAGGATCCGTTGTGGGACCGTTGGACTTTATACTCTACTCTGGTCCCCTCAGTGACGTCATAAGGTCCCATAAGGGTGTTGAACACATGATGTATGCCGACGACACACAAATGTATCTGATACTGAAGCAAAGTGAAATCGCCAGTGGGGTGGTGAGACTGGAGCAGTGCATCGCAGATGTGAAAGTCTGGGCTCGTGATAACAACCTCATGCTTAATGGTGCCAAGACAGAACTCATGCATATGACGTCAGCATTTCGAAAAGCCAGTGAGCTGCCAGATTTCGAAGTCGACTGCAATACAATCAATCCATCAAAATCGTCTATTAATCTCGGAGTCGGAGTGGATGACAAACTTACCATGAAGCAACATGTTCAGAAATCATGCAGAGCCGCTTCGTTTGGAATTTACCGGATCGGAAAACTCCGAAAGTACCTAGACCAAAGTTCTACTGGGCGCCTAATAAATGCATTTGTGACATCACACATTGATTACTGTAATAGCCTGTTGATAAATCTACCCAGCTCACATCTGACCAAACTCCAACACATCCAGAACACTGCAGCCCGTCTCCTCACACGCACAAGAAAGTACGAACACATAACACCTATTCTTCGTTCTCTTCACTGGCTCCCCATTCCACAGCGTATCCAATTCAAGGTACTGCTTCTCACCTACAAGGCCCGTAATGGACTTGCTCCAGTATACATCAATGGACTCATTTCACCAAAGGTGCAAACCTCCTCCATCAGGCTCCGCTCATCATCATCTGTTCATCTTCAACTATCATCTGGTCCTCGAACTCACACCCGCTATGGAGATCGTGCCTTCTCTGTATGTGCTCCTAAACTCTGGAATAATCTCCCCGTCTCTGTCCGTGAATCCCCAACTCTTGACACTTTTAAACGTAGACTTAAGACCTATCTATTCAACACGAAGTAATTGTCCATCATCATACCGTATTTATAACCACATGTCCTATCTTCTTGTCATCTATTTATTGTCTAATGTACATAATTATTGCAGTTTCATTAATGATACTTAATTATTGTATTTACATTTTCATTTTTCATTATCATGTTATTGTTATACATTGTTAGTTAAGTAATTCGTCCAAATTAAGCGCATTGTTTATTTCATGTTTCTTGTTGATCCTTATCACATATTTAGTTTAACCGTACTTTTCATTTCACTTGTTTTGTAAAGCGCTTAGAAACTGTACTTGTATACCAGCGCTATATAAATCTTAAATATTATTATTAAGAAAAACAGTTTTCGGTTCAATTTCAAGGAACCTTTGATCCAATCGATGAAATAATACGACGCATATTCCTGACAACTCGACGCATCTCAGCCCTGACACTCCTGTTGACGAAGGCGTAGATGAGTGGATCGATGAGGGCGTTGCAATACGCCATCCACATGGTAAAGACTCCCAGGCGAGCGGTTTCGTGGCTCCCGATGAGCTTCGAGTGGTAGAGCATGTATGGTGTCCAGCAAGTAACGACCGCGAGGACCAGTAGTATGGCTAGTGCAAAAAAAAAAAAACATTTTCACGTTAAATTATTTAGGTTTATACTGTCCGTTTGTCTCTCTGTGTGTCATGTCTCTGTCTCACTTACTTCCTTCTTTTTTCACTCTCTGTCTGTCCGTCTGTCTGTCTCTCTGCCTTTCTCTGTCTCTCTCGCCCTCCTTTCTCTGTCTCTCTCGCCCTCCCCTCTCTCTCTCTCTCTATCTCACATTCTCTCCTGTCATCTTTTACATGTATGTAAAAAATAAATCGCACACTCTATACAAGGAGGTTCATGGATTGTAAAATCCTGTTCACAACAATTTTTCCTGAGAATGACCCACATAATTTTGGGAATCTTATGAAAATTAGGTACCAGTGGTTGATTTCCACTATTAAAACATGATATTAATTTACTTTTCATTTAAATGATTTAAATAAATTCAAAGTACAATACGGTTACTTGTCACGGTTACTGTTTCCATTGAAATGTGGGGCATTTAATGCCCAAAGTTTTAATGAAGAAATAATGTCATATCTTGTTCATTTCATTTAAATTGGAGAAATTTTGCGTGGAATATTTCGTGTCGAATTTTAATAGGATGTGTATAGGAGGGTAACGTAAATTATCATTGGATAAATAACTGAAATATGACTTTATCTTCAGTTGCCCGTCACCTCATAATTCTTTAAATTGCATCATTAAGTAATGACAATTTTAATCCAAGTTGTCAAGTATCAGTTATGTATCTCATTACCCATTTTTGCAACTCGCTTGTGTGCCATATGTTTACGCCTCTCAATCTTCAGTCTATTCTTCTTCGCTGTGGTCACATTGGTGGTATGGGCGCCATCTTGCTCATCCTGCAAGTGGTGATTTGAGTGAGTTTCACTGAATTCCACTCTGTCTTTGGTCGCTAAGGCACTGTGTGAAAATATCCAACTCTGAAGGGGATTAATATAAAAGAATAATAAAGTTCCTCACGCTTAAATGTTGGATTTATTTGACACAATTGTCGTCATCAAATGGACTGTGACACTGTTTCTCATCTGAAACTAAAATAATTCACAGTTTTCTTTTATGACGAAAATTAGATTCAGTTCGATGGTTTGGTGGATTAGGTACGGGCTGGACAAAGATGATAAATTAACCAACATAAAACTTTGTGTATAATTATCTCAAGTCGTTACCCTAATGACCTATACATTTCATAACTTAGTATTAAAATAATACACAGTAGTGAAGGCATTAGTACGAATTACCCACACGAGGTACCTTTGGAACAGTCTAACACGCCCGAGGCGATAGCCGAGGGTGTTTGAACTGTTTTGAAGGTATCGAGTGTGGGTAATGTTACTAATGCCCGAACAAAATGATGTGTATTATTTGTTGTATAAGATTATGTTTTATTTGCTTTATAAATGATGTTTTATAACATGATTTTGATAATAACCAGTCACTATAAAAAATTACGTGTTAGGCAAAGTTAATGCCTGCAGGTCACGTGTACGCCCTCAACCAATTATTTGATTAGGATCCAAGTCATCATCTTAAAAAACTTGATATACTCTATAATGTCTAAATGAAATGGAAATATGAATTCACCGAACCAACTTGGGAGGAAGAAAGAATCGAGACTAGAGAAACCACAAAGTTCGACTAATGAATACAGAAGGTGAATAATTTGGTTTATTTCTCACCTCATTGCCTTCTCCCGAATCTTGCTGTGCACCCTCATCTGGTTTAGGTGTAGCACCCTCTGTCACAGCTGTGGACATGGTCACCCTGTCCGTTGCCTTGGACCTCGACAAAGAATGACTTTTCAGGCGTCTTTCTTCCTTCCAGAGATGGTAGGTAATGGAAACATAGCAGCCGAGCAAGGAGAGAACGAAAAATCCGTAGTTCAATATAATCGTATTGATGCGGAAAGATTCATTCTCCCGCCACATCATTGAGCAGTGGAGAGTTCCCGGATGGTAGCTGATGTAAGTAGCGTGCCCGATCGTTGCGGAGACGGTCGCCACGGTCGCCACGGTCGCACCGACTAGCCAGGATATGGCGACCATGACGAGCACCCGGCTTCGGTTCGGCTGGAAATGGCGGGACAGGACGAGGATAAGCAAACGATCTACGGCGATCGAGAGAATGGTGGGGAGATTGGTAAAGCTAACCGTGATTACCAAGAAGCCTTGAACCTGTTTTTAGGAACAAAGAGAATCGATATCAAGTTGAATTCACGAGAAACCTGTCTTGTTTTACAAGCCTGCGGATTTCCCAATGTCCCATTGTTCTCCAAAAGATTCCAGGGATTGTCATCATTGGCAGCAGCAGGAGAGGCATTAGCACAGAATCAATCAACAGTGTAGCCTCTATCACTTCTTGAATACACCCCGATTACCATGATTACCAATTCTAAACACCTCACGGCGAGTCAGTTTGATATGTTCTTTGTTTAACTCCAACTTCATTCTAATGACATCGTTTTGCCCACTTGTAAAATCCTCATGGCGCTACATCAACATCATCATTATAACACCCAGTCATGTTAATTACAGGCACATCACCATCACCCCCACTACCACCACCATTATCAGCAGCACCAATACTACCATGGCACTATCACAAGCGTCTTCATCTCCCTTACCCTCACCCACACAATCACAATTATAACCATCACCACTGCCATCACCATAACCATCCCATCACTCAACACCACTATCATCATTCTTACCATGCAAACCTTCCGATGAGCGCTTAGTATTTATAGTCGACGATGAAGACGAAAGAAAAGACCAGACTGGACCTTAGAACCACAACTATCACCACCATTATCCCCACCACCAGCACTAATACCACCACCACCGTCACCATCACCACCACCACCTCAATCATCATCATTCTTACCATGCATACTTTTCGATGAGAGCTCAGTATATTGTCGAAGATGGAGACAAGAGATAAGACCATACTTGATATCTGAACCATCACCACCACCACCATCATCCCACCACCAGCAATAATACCAACACTACCATCACCACCCCCACCACGATCCTCATATTTACCATGCATACTTTTCAAAAAGTGATCAGAAAATAGTAATCGTCAAAGATCCAGACAAGGGAAAATACCATACTACACATCAGAAGCACCTCCACCACCACCAATCATACCAACTCAACCACCACCACCACCACCACCAATCATACCAACTCCACCACCACCACCACCACCACCACCACTAATACCAACTCCACCACCATCACCACCACTAATACCAACTCCACCACCACCACCACCACTAATACCAACTCCACCACCACCACCGCTAATACCAACTCCACCACCACCACCACTAATACCAACTCTTCCACCACCATCTCCACCACAACCATCATCATCATCCTTGTTCTTACCATGCATACTTTTCGATGAGAGCTGAGAAAGTATCCATTGTCAAAAATGGAGACGAAAGAAAACACCATGCTACACAAAACCACCCCCAGGTCCGCAATCGCCAGATTTAAGATCAACAGGTTGTGAGGGATGCATCTCAAAGATCTCACGCGAAGAATGATGAAAATTGTCAAGGTGTTGAAGATGAGAGTTCCCGCCATGATCAATCCAAGACTGTTTGATATCAGAAGGAGTAAAGAAGAAGATGAGTAACTTACGGATTGGGTAAAATTTACTTATCAAAACTTATCTTATCAAAACCTGGTTTCACGAAAAAATATCCAACGATACCGCTATGAGTATCATTTCTATTGAAAACTTTCAAAATGATGCCGAAAAGCTTGAGGACATTTAATTTAAAATCTATGTCTACCCAATTTTGTATTATTACCGACCTATAATATTAAAATGGCACAATCCAAGATGTTACTTGTTTTCCTTGATGAATCCATTAACAATTGCCTTGTTTATATGTAGAATAATAAATAAAACGTCCATTTCCCCCAACTAGGATAGTTTTATTAGAAACCACTGCCATGCACCTGGCCTGCCGGAGGCAGAAATGTAAGTAATTACTTTCGATATGTTAGAATAATAACAACATAATTTTCTCGTCCTAAATAACATGTCGGTATATCCTTTTCTGAACTTGTTTTCATAAAATATATAATTCACTCAATTTAACAATGACAAAAACCCTTGAATGTCAATGTCGATCCTGTCGGTCAAAGTGTACCGTTAAAAAAATAGTCGTCTCGTTGTTGGATGCCTGATCGAGTCGTCTCCAAATATTTGCGACCCCAATATGAACAAAAATTCCCCATGTTCGGTAGGTAATATAAGTATATATAATTTTATTTTTTTTAAATAAACGGAGTTCATAATTTTACTAGTAATACATACCTAAGGGACTGAAGAACCTGGTCCGCTATTCCCGGCAAGTCATGATCAGTAGCTTCATGAGTTGGATAAATCTCCCGCGTTATATCAGTAGGATACATTGTATATTCCATGGCGATTTATAAAAACGTGAAGAAAGCGGAAATAAAGTTAGACCCTACTTTTTTCGCAATGAAAGAAATGGCTTCCGGATGCACTAGATTCACTCGAAAGCAATCTGTTCTTTTATTTTTGCAGAAAAGAACTGCATTTGTTGTCTGTATTTTGTGACATACAATAATGTCTGTCTGATGTTTAGGGTAGTGAGCCAGGAGTTACCACAGCAATCTTCTTGGTAATAGGAGTAAGAGTTGCGATGAACACTTAGTGCCATTTGTGTCATGAGATCCTAGATTAATTTGTGTTTATTCCTATTATCTGATGACACGTTTGACGGATGCGGTATGTATCGTTTCTTGTTTCAGTGGCATTGTTTTCCATTCAGTTCATTGTTTATCTATTTCCTTGTTCATAAAGCTCGTTAAGCTGGTGTACTTGAGACCTATTAATCGGGAAGGTCATAATATTGAGTTACCTTTAATAAGAGCAGAAATAAAATGTCCCATTGAACATGAGCCCTTGATATAATTATTACAAATATGTTTCTATACAACCCAATATATGGACAAAATAATTTCCGTCATCAATAACTTAGGAAATAAACGTTAATGAAATACCTGTACAGAACAAATTGGAGAGGACCTCGCAAGATACGTCACAGTATCGCCAAGCGCCCAATCGGTGTTTCACTGATCACAACTTTATAAATTAATGACTTTCCTACTTTTAATCGGATATTGCATACAAGTATCACTAAATGTTTCTCTCGTTTTTCTGCTTTCAACAATACCAGCTAATTATTACGATTGATTTCCTCTTTAAAGATAAAGTTGAGTACTGGACATGATGTTGTCTTGTGAAATAAATTGCATCGTAGAAGTAAGGAAAGGTCTCTCTCTTTTATATTTGCATATTATGGAGATGACAGAGATGAAACTTGGCATGAAACTAACTATTGCGAAAGTAGATTATTTACGAGTGTTATAACCATTCACCGCTGATCATGATACCAGGTCAGTGTGAAATAAATATTTATTTCCATCACAGTCACGTTTCTAATCTTTTTATTCATTTATTCAATGTCGAAAGTAGTTCCCGAGAAAGGTAATTGATCGTGTGCTGGCTGCATATCAGTTTAAAGCATGATGAACAGTAAAGTTCCCTTTGATATTGATAATAAAAGATTATAAAACTTATGTTTCTTTATTATTAACAAGTACATTTTGATGCCATTGTCTTTATTATTTCACTTCTGAATACATACAAATATCAGTAAATTACATAAAAACATATATGAAGAAATATGAACTTATTTTAAAGAGAACTGGCCAGGGCTACAAGATATGCGAAGCTTGATGCCTTGTGAGCACTGGCAATCGAGTAAACTTGCAAGCATAGTGTATTACATTTCTATGATTATTTAAATGTTCTTATAGGATGCAGCATTTTTAAAAGAATTTTCTTCCTGGCTCAACGTACAAATTATGCAATCATAAGAGTAAAGCCGTGGACAACTAAAATGAAATCACAGCTTTTACACTTTCAATTGGCAGGGTATGTGGTCTGCCAAGTCAGGGCCCACGAAACGGCCGGTCTGGGGGGGGGGGGCCTCCCCCCCCCAATCTTTTGAAAAAAGTATGTTAACGAGAAATAGAAAGGAGGAAAGAAAGAAAGACGCTATATCTTTAATTGTTAAATACAAAATGATACATTTTGCTCTATACCTAAAACGATCGTAAATTGATCCTATTAGTCGATCGTGTGAGTTCATAATTATTATCTAAAGTGCCTAAAATGGTTTGTTCTATACCTAAATGTCACTTTTAGGTACTAATATTAATGATAATCTTAGTCGATCGTGTGAGTTCATAATTATTATCTAAAATGCCTGAAAATCTTCATTTAGTGACATTACGTGTTTTAAACTATTGAACAATGACATTAATGACACCTGTCGTTCTATACGCTTAGGTAAAAGTTCTAGACATTTTGTGGCACCGCTTTATGACAGAGTCATCGTGTTGCACCACGCTTTACTCACTAGCGAATATTTTCTTGTTCAAAATAGGCCTATTCGTATAAATTCAATCCAAAATTCAACTTCCAGCCTTTCTGAAAACTTAAGACATATGTGATAGGAAGAGATGGTACGCTACTCGCTTATATTATATTTTAAATATAGATTTATTTTTCACCTATAAAATGTACTCCTAAAATAAAAGGACAACGTTAAATTTTCTGATCTTTAGTTAGTGTCTCATTTTAATGAAATATTACTTCAGACCATGATTTACGTCTTTAAACAAAAATAGAGTGACCTGTCAGTGTCACAAATAAGGTATCAAAATATGCTCATCAAATCAGAATTGAAAGCCTAAAACCCCTAAAGCGGGGCTCTGGACCCCACGCTAATTTACGCTCGACTAACCTTCATTATCGATGTTCATTGTTTGTGGTGTATACAGAAAGTAAAGAAAGGTGTTTAGGATGACCTGATCGTAAAAACTCTAGCCCCCCCCCCCCCACACACTTTGAAGAAAAAACGGGGCCTGCAAAGTAAATCACCATTGTTTGCTTCATTACAAAAGCAAATCTGTTCCCCCACTGTTGTTTTTCTTGATCAAATATTGTGAAAATGAAAAAATAAGGAGTTTGATCTATTATAATCATAATATATCTGTTGAATCGCGTTTGGTAGAATGAGAAAATCCACCCGAGCGGGCACGGGCAGCGCAACGTAGCACGACGCACAATGGATTAAAAGGACTTTTACGGCAGGTCGATAATGCTTCAACAATTGAATGGATCTGAAGTGTCTTTTCTTAACAGGCAGTTTAACCACCGTGTCGATGCGGCAAAAATATAGTAGATGAGCAAACGTATACAAGTCATGCTGAATACACAATAAACACAAAACTGGGTCGTACAATGAACTGGCCATGCTTAGCAGTAGATATTTAGCACTAGGGGTATCATGATGTGTGCTATTTGTTAGTTATCCTTAAGATTTCAACATACTGGAAGTGTATATTTTAATATTTTGTGTTGTTTGGGGCCTCTTGTGTAAGTGCAACATATCAACGTCGACTGCTTCCGCGTGTTACTACATACTAGCTCCTCTACAAGATGTAGTCTATTACCATTATCATTTTGGACGGACTGTGGCTTTCAGGTTTTAAAGATGCAATATAACCGTTCGTGAAGACATCTCGAAATTGATTTTTCTACCAAGGGATATAATTCAGGATATTGAGATCAACATTTTGGTGAGCAGTCAGCCCTTTGTTCATAATTTTCACTGACTGAAACAGTTCTGGGAGCAACCTATATCTTTGTTTTGGAACATGGGACGCGGAGAGCTGAGGAATGAACTGTGTGGGTATGATCTTCTTTCCGTCCACGTTGTGCTTAGTATGATGCTTCAGTTTTATGGCAACCCTTAATGGAAGTAATGGATACAGTCATACAACAATAATGATCTTTTAAATCTATGAATTATCGGAATATATTCCTGGGAATTATTTGTTTTGAATGATTTATTGAAATGACTCAATTAGAGGCTCACGCGACAAAGCTAGTTCTATTCCTGTATCTGCATAATTTGGATTGAGTTTGAGTTAATGTATTACATGGTTAAAGACCCTGCCCTCAGCTGATACCTATACTTTTCACCAAGGCCGTGATATCCATAACAAAAGCCGTTGTCAAACCTTAACCATTATCGGGCTACCATAGAAGTGATCCTGTTTAAATTTATGGCCTTCGATGGCGTCTTCGAGCCCTAGAATGTATCGGACGACGTCGTATGCCGACCGCCTCGATGACGAGGGGCTTGATCATCTGCTGGATGAGAGCGACGATGAGCAGTTCAAGTGGGAAGGAAGAGGATATGGATTCGATGGTGAATTAGGCAAGGCTGAGAAAGAGAGGGAAGAGCAAAGACGAATACTAGCAAAGGTAAGAGCGTGAAAGACAGATTTGATTACGAACTGTAATTATTTAGTTAGGCCAAATCAAGTTTACGCCAGTTTAAATATTTGTCATTAAGACACAAAATACCACTCCTTCTAGGTTTCATTGAATTTTAATTTTCATGTAACAAAGACGCTTCCTGATTGATCCTTTCTTATTAAAATGACATAAAGAACACAAAATCTTGGGGGGGGGGGAGGGCAACTAACGGAGTCAATTAGCAAGATTAGATAGATAAACACAGTATATGTATAGGCTATATTTTAATTCTGACAAATACACTTCATACGGTGTTCGTTTTTCTTGATTATGCTGTATTTATCTTGAGAACTTTCGATGATATCAATTAAACTATAGCCCCTCCCTCCTTTTTAAACATCATTTAACAGACCTTTTTGATAAAGCATCACAAAAGCAACATAATATACGATAGGCACAACGGACACGGTAGGATGGTAAATAGCAAGCCCAAGGAAATTTGAACATATCTTTGATTTTCATTTCACCTCATATACCTTTATCTTTAGGCTGTCAAGTCGGGGGACGTAGACAAGCTAAGGAAGCTCTTGAAGAGTGTTGGTCCCGACGACGTCGTTGACTTGATCAACGAGCACGACGGGAAGAATTACAGCGCCCTCCATTACGCCGCCGCCAGCAACAACGTGACAACCGTCAAGCTCCTTCTCAAATATGGGGCAGGTATGTACTCTTAGATTAATTATCTTTACTAATTATTTAAAAATGTATGTCTTGTCAAGTACACTTTTTTAATTCCTTTCTTTGTGTCCCGTTTTGTCAAGTTTCATGAAATATTTAATATAATTATCATCAAAGTATCATTAACCATGATATTTCCTCTGATCAATACACCAGTTCACGCTTAGCACAAGTCCCAAATGACCCCGAATATCCACATATCTTCAAAACATAATAAGGTCCCACTTTGTACGTCTTGAAATAATCACTCCTACAGCGATGGAGGTGCTACGTAAATAGCTTTTCCCCTGTTTAAAGAATACTTCCACCTGTGTATCATGGAGTGCACTGTAATTTTGTGCATAAATGAATAATATTTACATAACTTTCATGAGCACGTATCCGGTATTTTGTCTCCGTGTATTTCACAAAATGGTATGCAAAGACCTTTATCTGCTCATGCTCAAACTGCAACTATGAACTGGCTTATTCGATATCATGAATATTAAATTGATGCACCTATCAGAAATACGAAACCCTCTGATGTTCGCTGAGTAAGGTACATAGTGCCTTAAACTTGTCTTCTAACAAATTTGATATCAGCATTCATTATAACTTAATAATAATCCGTTACATGTACTTTTACCTCTTCCAGATGTAAACAGTGTTGGTGCTGCATGTAGACAGCCTCTTCATCTAGCCGCTGCCGCCAGCCCACCCAAGGAATCTAAAAAGGTGAGACCAACTAATTATCATTTTCTGCATGTATCCGTCAATCAAAGACAAATTACATCACTCGTAGTATTAATGAAAGTAATGGTAAATCAGGAATTATATAGAAACCGTTAAAATGCTTAATGACACACAAATATTATTCTGTGAAAATACCCCACATTGAAATAGAAGATAATGTGATTGATGACAAAAGTGAAAATGCTGATTGTTTTAATTGTCAGTTTATAAATATGGCAAACAGTACAGAAAAGTATTGTGCCCCTCGATGATCATAGTCAAAATGATTCATATCCTGTTTTGCATACTGTTATGCCTGGAGATGGATTCCGTTTTGATCTAGTTCATAAAGAATAAGTTTTAAATGTTATTAATAACTTGAAAGATAAGAGGCTTTGTGGTCACATAATGTACCAGCTGAATTTTGGAAACTTACAGTGACTTATATTATATTTAATATACATCATAAATTTATCTTTTGGGCAAGGTGCTGTTCCTCTGCCATGTTAGATATCTTGTGTTATTCCAGTTTTTAAATCGGGGCAAAAGTGTGATATGAACAATTATAGACTAATATTAATTCTTCCAGTGACAGCTAAAATTGTTAAAAAATTGGTATTTGATCAACTTTACGGTTAAATGGATCAGAACCTAATTATAAATTGTAATCAATCAGCTTTTCGACCGAAACACTTTACAATGACAGCTCTATTAATTGAATGTCACGGGAGGCTGGTTTGTTAGTTTAGATAAAGGTAATCTCGTTGGAGTGGTGGCCCTAGACTTACAAAAGGCATGACAGACAAAGAAAGCGGACAAAATATACAGTTCCTCAGGTAGACAAAAGAACATCCCTTCACTACTATTATGTAAAAAGGTGAATATGCATGTGACACCTGTTCTACACATTTTTACATAATAACAGTAAAGAGATGTTCTTTTGTCTACCTGAGGAACTGTATATTTTGTCCGCTTTCTTTGTCAGTCATGTTCATAGTGTAAGCTACGATTAATTGGCTTGAATATATATTGTCATTACATTTTTTTTAGTAGCTACTGAGCCTATTGCATGCAATATACTTTGTGTAAACGGGATTCATTCCAATTCACAAGAGATGCATACCACATATCCTAAAGAAGAACAGCCTTTGGCTGAAGTTGGTGCCGTGCAAAAATAAACTGAACTGAACTGAACTGAACTATATAATGCATGATTGTTATCTTCCTCTATTTGTTTGTCTGTTTGTTTTATATAATCATGTGTGTACTATTGATTTTTGGGTCAACTTACTATAAGGCTATTTGCTCTTTTTTGTTGACCCCTCATTATCATTATTTGTTTTTGTCCAATTATGTCTGTATTATTTTCTATTGAATGCAGCTCTGTTTTAAGCTCTGCTTATTAGCAATAAGAACATTAATCCACGGCGAGGAAATCATCACATTGACGGAATACAATTAGTAATATCATGATTATTATATTATAATGTGACAAATCAAAACATTTTGTTTCCTTTTTCTAGGGTGATTCCCCGAGGAAGACGTCAGTCGTGAAGCTCCTTCTGTCAAAGAATGCCAACATCAACTCTCAAGACTTCTTAGGACGGACTCCTCTCCATATCGCCATCCTTCATAATAATTCAACCGCGGAGGGCGTACTGCTGGCAAATGACGATATTGATATCAATGTGAGTTTGCAATACCGTTATTTAATATGTATTAATTAATCAAGTCCGTGTCAGAAGAGGCGTGGTTACTCAGTGGTCATGGTGGTACAGAACAGTGGCCTCGTAACCATGGTAGCTGGGACGTTATGAGCCGTCGCTAAAAATTATTTTCATTTATTTATTCATGATTTCTTTCAACAGGGTCGTTTCATTCAGTTCCACTGGAAGCTAGTGCTAGTAGATCTGCTTTTCAAGAAAGCCCTGCATAATACAATGACGGTATCAAAACAAAAGTATAATAATACAACAATTAAACATTGTACATACATGTGAAACATCAAATTAAACACATATCATTTAAAAATAAGACTATTTGAATCATACAATATTTATTATCAATTTAAAAAAAAACTGAATTATTACAATAACAAAAGCACACCTAAACAAACAAAAAAACACCCCAAAACCAAAACCCAAAACAATAGAAATACTAAAATAATTACAGAAGGAATAGAGTGCAGAAGACCTATTGCACTTTTGAGAGTTTACAAGAAGGTAAAAGAGTTACAGTAAATGCATAGAAAAACGGCATTGCTTTTTGAACAAATGTAATCAGGACTGAACAGAAAGTGGGAATTTGTTATACAAGAACGGACCATAGTAGACACAGCAACATTTCCTATATCCAGTGAGTGCCTGTGGGACAAACAAATGACTTTTAACTGCATAACGTGTTATAGAAAAGACTGGTCGTCGAGTAACGAGACGGTTTAAAAAATTAAGAGCTTGTTTATGCAAAATTATAGAAACAAGAACACAAAATTGATATTTTACCCTTACTTCTAGAGTTTGCCATTTAAGAAGTGGTTGCTAACTTACAAGCATACGCATACTCTTTTCGGAGTCATGTAAAACAAATTTACTATCTTTCAAAGGAGCTAGACAACTATTCATCGGGCTGTAATCGTCGGACTGTATGGAAAACTACCCAAAGTACAATACCCCCCCCCCCTCCCCGCCCGAACACAACGACCCCATAACAGTTGCCCTCAAGAAAAATAAATGTATCCCTAAGATCTCTGGAAAGATGCTACAAGGTCCTCATACACCAACCTGAGGTAGTCTATAAAGACTATAATCATATACTCTAAATTGACACTTATCCATAATTCTTGTGGTCGCATCGTCCGTAGTCGTACCCCATTGGCCCCCGAGTCATGCAGGTCACGGGAAAGACACGTATAGTCTCGTCATGCTACAGCCCATTTAAACAACGACGTAATTAACTCCACCCCATTAAGGCTTGGGGGAGGGGGGGGGGGGGGAGGGGTCGTAACAAGTATGATGGCAAATTTGCCTAATATAATTTTAAGATACTGGAGCAAAAACAACAACAACAAAATAAGATGTAGGGTCCGAAATCTGTTGAGTAAAATTCGCTGATAACAGTTGAAGAAAATTATGTCGATATGCACGTATGATTTTTTTTTCTAAAAAACTAACAGAAATTTGATCATCATCGGGCGACGCCCTTGGTCCTGGCTTGTTACTATGGGCGATCTGACGTGGCGGCAGTCCTCATCAAGCTCGATGCCGAACTTAGCGGGATTAGAGGATTCGATGAGAACATGGATACACCACTCCATATCGCTCTGAGGGAGAGACATCTCAAGATTGCCAAGTGTATCGTGGAGAAGGGCATTGTAAATGGGAACATAACTTCGGTAAGGATTTTTTTCTCTTATTGGTCTTAATTAAACTTTTTGTGGACATGGTAATTTTGGTCCTCATTACCATCACCATCATCATTAGTATTCATTATCTTTATTATCGTTACATCACTATCACCCCCTATCACCGTCATCAATATTCCCTTCCCCTTCACCCTCCTCGTGTTCATCATGCTCATCTCACTCCTTTCTATTACTGATATAGTATGGGCATATTAAAAATGCAAAAGATTGTATACATTCAACTATTGGCGTTATCTTTGTCAGCAGAAACAACAATAGATAATAGTTAAGTATTGCGATCTGTAAATGTTTAAACGGAGACATACATGTTCCGCTTTCGATCCGTATATTCAATTGTTCGATCCCCGACACGGCACTATTGTCTTTGACAAGGCATCAAACTACATTTGCCTCTCAGTACCCAAGAGAGAAATGGGAACTGATAGGATGACGAAAGCATTTGTGTTAGTAATTGCCTATGCCCTTTGTACGGTGACCATATGGTAGGAATACTCCCCAGAGAGTGGAGATGGTGCACATTGTGCGTGAATTAATCCAATGATCTGGGTAGTAATATTTGTAAATCACAGAATTTATACCGATTAAGCGCTATATAAATAACAATTATTATTATTATTTTCCTCTATGTGCAACCTGTCCAGTTGCTGACAGAATCCAACAGGAACTGCGTTGAACCTATCCACGAAGTTGTCAAGGGTGGTCATCGGGATATCCTCAAACATGTCTTCAAAGAATGTGGGTATAAAGTACAATTGGCAATTGGCAATTGGCAACTTATTAAGATGCCCATTCCTAGATGACCAATGCTGCCTGGAAGACCTAGTGTCAGCAAATGAGAAGGCTCTTCAGTGTGCAAAAGCCTGGCAGAACATTTGAGCACAGATAGTGGACACGAAAGAAGAAGATAGGCAACTATGGCAACTCATCGTTAAAATAGCCCAACTGGGGTAGCTAAGGCTACACTCATATTCTTTCAAAATTATTAGCTACTGTATGAGACAGCACGAACAAGTGATTGATTTGCCATGTTTGTGGAACATACAAGGTGGTACAGAACAATGGGAAATATTTTTGAGAAATCATCTTTAACGGCAATTTCCATGTTCTGTTTTATTACGTTATTTTGTTTGCACATTTTCGATAAGTGATACACTCTTCAAATAGAATTACCCTCATATTAATTTCTTGAAAGTCATGCGGTATTGTAGCAGTTCGATTCAGGTACCTTCAAGCAAACATTTTTGTAGGCTTCTCATTCATCGCGTTGCACGTTCTTCGTCAAACAGTGACGAACGAAATATTTCTACCTGTGATCATGGTGATAGCCGTTCTTCAAGTTGTTGTTCCTTCGGGACTATCTTTTGTACATAATAGTGAAGCAGCACAAGCACGCAGTCCAGATGTAAAGCCATTTTTTTTTTTTAAATTGTAATTAATTGCAGGTAGCGACGTGAGTGACATACTGAATCGTTGGGACAGAAACGCAGATACACCACTCCACATAGCGACCTATTGTGGTCAGTACGAGATCACCAAGATGATGGTGAAGAAAGGTGCAGACCTCGACAGCATGAACAAGGACAGACGGACACCACTGCATCTTGCATGCGCAGGGAACTTTCAGACGATTGCCGTCCTCTTTGTAGAGAAGTAAGAACAAAGTTGTTTTCACTTTTTCTTAAAAATATACATCCAATCGAATAACAAGAAAACGAATTTAGAATGAAAATACGGTGCCAAAATACATAAGATAACAACAACCTTTCTTTGTATTTAGCTCTTTCTTCTTATTTTAGACATGTCGCTCTCAATCTCCATAATCCTCTACACAATTGTTTAAATAACTGACTGATACCGTTATCCACTGTGACATTTTTTCTTGGATAATATTTACAGCACTAAGTAATAATATACTATTCGAAATGTAGTCACTTAATTTCTTGATATCACTTAACGTACACATTATTCCATTTATTTGTTCAGGCCCTGGGGACACAAACAAAAAGGTCGTTGACATGTTTAAAGAAAAATGGAGATAAGAAAGTAATGCACCCAGGCGAGTGTATGATCGATTATACATTGTGCGCTGTTAAACGACACACACCCTTAACCAGGAAGACAGTTGCCCTGGGGTCAACTTCTATCACGAGTCAAAATCCTCAATACAATCCTGAACCCAACACTATACCTAACCTTAGCACTACTCTAAACATAACCACAAACCAAGTCATAACTTTTGATGAGGTAAAGCCCGAAGCAAAATTTTGGACCACTCTGCCAAACAGTATCTTATTTAAGGAGGCGCCGATAGAGCAGTGGTCTCGTAATCCGGCAACCGGAGTTCGAAAACAAGGCGATACATTAGTGCCATTTGGTAAGGCATTAATCCTCATTACCGAGTCTCTATGAGAAGCCGTCGGTCTTCTGGTTGCTAAGCATTTATGCTTTCTTAGCAATCAGGTAAAATAACCACCCCTACACCTCCCGAAAAATATATATTATAATTATTTTTTTATTTTTTTTGTATATCCAGTGGTGCTGACCTGAAGGCAAGCGATGATGATGGTCTGGCGCCTCTCCAAGTAGCAGCAAACTCTAAGAGTCTCGACACCATCGTGGCCCTCCTGGAACGATTGAGGAACCTTGACCTACAGACAGCCGGGGGAAGGAACGACTGCTTAGGGCCAAAGCTACTTGAATGGGTCGCAGCAGAGAACAAAGCAGATGCTTTGCAGGTTCGTTTACTTATTCGTATGATTTGATGATTTGATGGTGATAATAATCGATGATGGTGACAATAATAATAATGATGATAACAATGTTAATGATGACGATGATAATAATGATGATTATGATAATAACAAATTGGCTGAGATGATGACATGATAGTTGAGTGTGCACACACAATATATAAGCGAATACTCGGTTCACTTAAAAGGGTGCAATACAAAGGCCCACATTCATAGATAAACGGAGATAATTGTTTTTTTGTTTTTTTGTTTTACAGATTCTTCTTCAACATGGCACCAAGCTTCACGGAGTCAAGGAAAATGATGTACTGGGATATATCCTTGATGCAGCAAGTAAAGGTCACACAGAGTGAGCCAAGCAAATTGTTTGTTTTTTAATGCATCAGCTCTAAAAAATTGAACAGAAAGTAAATTAGTCTATAAAGGCCCTAACATGACTTTAGATTAGATTGCAAAGGAATTGAGTTAATGCTTCAAATGATTTACGTCAACCGATTTGCAGAATTTTGGAGGAGACGAGTAAATGATATTGATTTGTCCTTAAAAATGGGGGAAAGCATTAAAGGTAATACAAAGTTTTGGTATGGGGTCACGAATTTGGTTCAAATGAACATATTAGAAGCATATGCGATCCTACAATATTCAATGATCGTTGTCGAGGTCGAAATCGACTCTAAATTTATGAAATTGTAAATAATAAACACATTATGTTGTATAGCTCCCTCTCAAGGTCAAGATATTAATTAAGCTATAAAACAATGTATCTTGACTAAAATCGACCGATTAGCTATTCCCGTTTGGAAATTGTATAGCACAACTACATATTCTGAGATTTTCATGGTCGCAGCTACCATTGTATGGCCGTAGGAGCTATTTGAAATTTATCAAAATTTACCGGGAGCACCGGTAAATGTTTATATTCAATTTTTCTCGAAAGCAGAAGTGTTTTAGGGGCTAACATTTCTAGTGCATTTAGTACATCCACTGGGGCATCCAAATATATCAAAATTGTAAAGAATAATTATCCACCCATTTTTCAAAATTTACCCAAACTTTGTTATACCTTTGATACTAAGTGCAAGTATGAATAAATTGAATCAATATTATGTCTACAACACTCTTGAATACAAACGTGCTTCTATCTTGGCGACTTTTCAGAATGTCTTGTTCCATTCCGAGCCAATCCAATGCATAAAGTAGTTGGTATGGCGCATTTGCTTTACAGATACACAGTGATTATTTCATGAGCAGTAAGAGCCCAGCAAAAAGAAGATTTTAAATGGAGTGAGAAAAACATGTTATATGGCATCAAACTTTCTCAATCGTTTTTAATTACTTAGAACTGTTGTAGCGTTGATTAACTGGAATCGTGAGGTCCTAAAGAAGCGAGATGACCGGGGTAGGACCCCGCTGCATCTGGCTGCCGAGGCTGGTCGTGAAGCTACCACCAATGAGCTTCTTAAGGCCAGACCACATGTAGATGAAACGTAAGTTCACGTCTTGTCCTGTTTCTTCCCAGTTACCGAAGCTTTATTTGAATTGCCTTCTTCCCCCTCACTTTATTCCTAAGTGTAGCCTATTCAATGAACGGGTTAAGATCGTGTATCATTTCATTTTAAATGGAATTATACTATCAATAAAGTATTTCTTCCACTAGGTCCATAAAATGATTGCGTGTCAGTTCCAAGCTACTTGTATACCTGGTATATAATACGAGGCCTAATGATACGTGACGTATATCATGGGAGAGAGAGAGAGAGATGCCGGGGGTGGTAACGAGACGAAGATATATATATATATATATATAGGTATATCGAGAGAGAGAGAGAGAGAGGGGGGGGGGGGGGGGAGTGAGATTGAGATTGAGAAAGAAGAAAGAAAGTGAGAAGAGAATGGTAAATGGAGGGGTGTGCGAGTGGTGCATCGCTTTGCTATTTTATTGATTCTCGACTATCCACTGATCTTTTATTACCAGTGACGTGAATGGCTTCACAGCACTCCATTGTGCAGCAGAGAATGGATGGGTTCGAACGGCTGAGGTCCTTATCAGATCCAAGTACGACATCAACAAGCAAACCACCGACAATCAAGTACGTATCTTCTATCAGATTAACCATTAACCGTGTTTACATGTATAAAGTCAAACGGGAAATTTATGGAGATTTCATGAAAATGAGCATAGTGGCGGGAGGCGCTACTGTTTATTGGTGTATAGGCACTTGACTCTCGTACGAGATGTCCTGGGTTCAATTCTTGGGGAGGCCTTCAGACTTGGACAAGGAGTTTCCTCACGTTTGCCGATCACTCTCGACCCAGATGTATTGATTGGCTACCTAGCTAGATATACTTGGGTAATGATAATAGCAGGGTTTTCTGTTTCTGGGTGTCATCACCATCATCATCATCATCATCATCATCATCAGCATTACACTTTCTAATATAAGTTACAGCTTTTAGTTACCAACAGTTATTTTTAAGATGTTCTATCGTTTTGATCATTTTTACTGATATTGTAAACACAAGACGACAATGTTTTCAAATCAGTGAATAAAACTTGAATACTTATTCTAACTTTCTCTTCAGAGAACTCCCCTACACCTGGCTTGTGGGTCAGGTCACTTTCAGATGGCAAAGTTACTAATCTTTAAAGAAGGCGCTGATATCTTGTTGTTGGACGGCGATGGAGAGAATTGCTTGATTCAAGCTATTAAAGGAGCTCATGAGTAAGTAGAAATGTTTAGAATATTTTCAGATAGAATACAAACTATATGAAGTCTATCAAACGTTAAATCAAATCGCTCTTGATCAACGAACCTCTATCAGTCTTTTAAAACCTATATTTCTCATCTTTGTCAGAAATGTTGGACGCCTCCTGTTAAGTCACGAGAAATGGCGAGATTTGATGGCGATCACGTGTTTGCATCCCAACTCCACGGACGAGACAACCACGCCCATGAGAGTCCTCATTGAACATATGCCAGGTGAGTGGGGGTTTCGAACCCCGAACTTCGTAACTGCCGCTCAAGAAAGATGGTTTGTAATCTCAATGACGAAGAGAGGAAGGGAGATTAGAACGGAGATGAGTTGAGATGAGTTGGAACCTAATTTGAGGTGGATTTAAAGGAGAGATTTACTAAATCAAATCAGATCGAATCGCCGAATCTACCGACTGAGCTATCGCGCCTCGACAATATGATTATAACATGAGACAGAGCAAGAATACTCCATGGTTCATTGTTTAATATTCTTTGACTTGTGTTTGACCATTGCAGATATCGCCATTTACGTCATGGACAGGTGTATATCATGGCAAAACAAGACCAGATTGGAGTTTGACTTCGAACTGCTGGATGACACGTTTTCACCTTGGAGATTGAGACCCAAAACTGGTATGTTTTACTCATAATATTCTTATGAGCATGTTTGTTTTGTAGTATTTTTTTTAACTCGGTTCTTAATTAACCTCATAAGCTAAGGATTCTTATCATAAAATTGCATGGAATTTTACGGTGTTACAGAGATCTGTTGATAAATGTGCATAATGTTCCAACAAGAGTCTTTCGTATTATCTCCCTCTTGTAGCAGAGAAAGATGCAAACGACTTACACATTAGTACGGCAAACGGACTGGAAGACCACCATGTAATCAGGGTTGCCTCGGTCTCCCTGGAGCCGAACGGCTTGACCAACGACGGGGCCCACGTTTCCACTGACGACAATACGCCGATCGATGATGAGGGGGTCGTGCCAGAGGGCGCACACAAAGATGATGACTTCCCCTATGAAGAAAATGGACGGTTGAAGAAATATGCAATGCCTTACACCACCAAAGCCAGTGAGATCAGAGACGCTCATCCCTTGAATATTATGGTATGATGAAAGTCTGTAAATTATATAGTAACCGAAATGTAAGGTAAATTGTTCTTCTGCATGTTGCCCATCCCTCTTTTTGATCGCGTATCTGTTCGCTAAATTGCCTCTCTCTATTTACACGACTTGTAGGATTTTTTTTGAGGAAGCTTATAAAATATGAATTATGATCGTAACGTATTTTCGCAATCGTAAAAGAAAGAAAGAAACAGACGATATCGCGTATCTGTTCGCTAAATTGCCTCTCTCTATTTACACGACTTGTAGGATTTTTTTTGAGGAAGCTTATAAAATATGAATTATGATCGTAACGTATTTTCGCAATCGTAAAAGAAAGAAAGAAACAGACGATAAACAAACGAACAAACAAACAAAAAATGAAGAAGAAGAAGTCTCTCGATGTATCTCACTTCTCTTTACTTTCTCTATGTTCTCTTTCTCTCCTTCTTTTCCTTCTTTCCCTTTTCACTCTTCTCTTTTATTGTCCCCTCTTCTTTCTCTCTCTTCGCTTTCATTTTTCGATCTTCCCCTCTCTCGCTATCTCTCTCTCTCTCTCTGTATTTCTATTTATCTTCCCGTCATCTCTTTCATGTTGTCTCTTTATCTCCAACACCTCCCTCTCTACAGGTATCATTGAAACGTGGTGAGTTACTCGCTCACCCCCTGGTCACCTCCCTCCTTCACCACAAGTGGACCAGCAACGGCCGTTTCTTCATCCTCCTCTCCCTCTCCTTCTACCTCATCTTCCTCCTCATGCTGACGGGTTACGTCGTGGTCGTCCCGCCTAGTTTCTACGCCCGCTCGGCCAACACGACCACGGGTGTGACGTGGTTCGCCGATGGCGAGGAGAGGTGGGTCGAGGATGGGCTGACTCCTGAGGTCATCATATTCGGTTTGCTAGGCGACTGGGTTGTCCTTGTACTCTCAATCATCAATCTCCTTCGCGAGGTCCGTTTGGTTTGGTTTGGTTTAATTTTCAGTATAAATACCAGATGCATACCTTTATGAATATATTTTTTTAAAATACAAATCAAGAATTGAACAGATGGCCGAGTAGCTTTATTCAGAGCCATCAATGACATAGTTCTCTTCCTACTAGACGTCTAGTGATACATGGTTGTTCATCCATTCTCGTGGTTTACATCATTCAGGCCATATACGAAGTTTTCATGAAAGAACGAAAATATGAAACAAGGGCATGATGAACTGACTATCCCTCCACAGACATTTTCATTAATAATATATCCTTGATCATTACTTGACACGAATGAAAACAAAAGATGTGTAATTTATGATCTTTTTAAACTCAACAATTAACTTTTGCGCTATTTGCATTCATTCTACCTATACACATTATATGGACGTTTGTATCGTTTCTCCTCTTCCTGCAATCTTGTTAGATAATGATGATGTTGTAATTCAATGATCACGTTATTTCTACAGTTCTTGCAGCTCAAGTCGTATGGTCTGTCATACTTCAACTTCGGCAATCTTCTGGAGTGGGTCTTGTATACACTGACTGTCCTCTTCGTTCTTCCACTGAGTGATATACAGTATATCACTGGTATCCATATCAGAATGGTAAGTAAGCATATGAAGACGGTGATGGCCATGCCTTCATATCAAAAACTAAATCAAACTTGTCTAACAAGCTCGATTCGAAACTGACTTGATATACGAATTCAAGGATATCGTGAAACAATTTATTGAACTCGCTAATAGCAAACATTTTGCCACTTCTTATTTGCTATTGTATCTCTATTCTCTCTTTCCCTCTCTCTCTCTCTCTCTCTTCAATTACCCCACTGATTTCTGTCTTTCCCTCATTCAACCTCTCTTCTCTCCTTCCATGCTTTCCTCCTCTTTATCTATATCTCTTTATCCCTCCCATCTCTCTTCCCTCATTCCCCCTCCCTCTCTCTCTCTCTCTCTCTTTCCTCTCTCTCTCTCTCTCTCTCTCTCTCTCTCTCCTCTCTCCTCTCTCTCTCTCTCTCTCTCTCTCCCTCTGACTGACAGGATTGGCAATGGCAATGTGGAGCAGTAGCAGTGTTTCTCGCATGGATCAATCTTATTCTCTTCGTTCGTCGGTTTGCTGCTCTGGGCATCTACGTGATCATGTTGATTGGTAAATTGATCCATTTATAGCTTTCATTTCAAGTTAGAAGGAAAAGTTATTCCTTTCCCTGAATAATTTTAGTGACACCCGTTTAATTTTTCTAAATTTCTTGAGGAAGTATTCATATTCCTTTTATATAATCTGTCTCATCTACAAATATTGGATCTGTAGAAGAGGTTGAAAAAAATACAGTTTTTAAAAAGAAGAAAAATTATAAGGAAATTTAAAATCATTAAAATGTAAATTTGTATAAATTGTTATAATTTATGTTCATAAATGATGTCTGCCTCTAATACCATCTTACCATTATTACCCTTTCCTATCCCGCAATGTAGATATTTTACGGACATTCCTGAAGTTTGTGCTCATCCTTGCTCTGTTCATCGTTGCCTTCTCAATGGCATTCTACATGTTACTTATGAATCAGGTAGGCCACTTTCGTGTAGAAAAGGATACTTCATTCAAAATCCCTATTTCTAAATGGAATATCCCGTGAAGGAAAACAAAAACAAAATTTAGTCTACCCAACAGGTATCTGAGGATGCAATAATGTGAACGATTTCGAATGCAATTCTGTGACAATGATGTCAGTACTTAAACTTAAGAAGTAGTGTTATTCACTTGCTTGCGTAGAAAACTGTATTCGGACATTTACACGTTTTCTTGTGATGGTTTACCACGCCATTACCCTTTACGGGTAAAATGGCCAGCATCCCCGTTCTCCGCCCACTTCATGTGATGGTACATACGCGTTATAAAATGATATATAGTCCATCAACTTTATATATCATAATTAATTAATTTAAATAAACTATTCTTCTATTCTCTCTGCTCTCAGGAACCCTTTCATCGGATACAATATTCCTTCGCCAAGACCTTTGTCATGATGCTGGGTGAAGTAGACTTTGGTGATATCTTCCACGATCAGAACTACCTTAACACGGAGAACACACTAGCGGGAGGTGAAGAGGATTTCTTCCTTACCAATTTGTTCTATGAAGGAATCACGTACACCATCTTCGCTCTCTTCTTTGTCATCATGTCGATCCTGATAATGAATATGATGGTAGGTGAAACCAGGGGCTGATCCATAATCTTTGTGCTTACAGAATGACAATCAGATTTCAAAGGGCCCGCTCCCTTATTAAAATCCATCACTGGAGTGTACCATATATTTTGCCATCGCGTAAACGCGAAACTGAGGGTCCGTTAGTAGGTATTGATATTCTGTCGTCAAGATCATTTGCTTCCTATTCGGATTTGCAATCATGGTATATGTCTAAATGATTGATTGGTTGCTTTTATTCATATTCAATATAAAGAAAAGTAACAAAGCAAATTACATTTTACAAAACATTAACATTTCTTTAAGTAATATGGAGGTAAATACTCATGAATCATGACAAAATGTTCCGTAAATCATTCAACACCTTAGGTTGGGCTTGCAGTCGACGACATCCATGCTATCCAACAGAAAGCAGAGCTCCACCGTCTTGTCATGCAGGTACATTAGTTACACCATTTCATAACTGAATGCATAACTTTCCATATACAGTATTTGGTCGATTAATTTTTCGGAATATACAATGTAGTAGTAGACATACTTTTACGTCGTCCGGGACCTGCCAATAATGTTCGTTTGCCATTGGTGATCAATACATGCATTATTAGTCATGCTTATCCTTTCCTGCAAGATAGAATGAGTGTCCCATACATGTTAATATAATCATTTGGCTTCAAATTTGTTCTCATGTAGCTTTCTTCTCCAATTATGTAATTCTGTTATCAATTCAGTTTGTAGATAATTATCTGTGATGGCCTTGCTGTGAAATTAGCTCCCTCAAATATGCCTTTCGTTCCTTAACCAGTTTACAATTGTTAATGTATCTTCGTCTCGTCTCTCGTAGGGTCATTAATGAATATATCGATCTCTGACGTTTGTGATTTATTGGTCCCCTTTACCATGTCTACCCTCTGCATGCAGGCCGAGTTGGTGATGACGGTCCAGCAGGCCTTACCGATGCGGATTTGGAGATCAGCAGTGATCTGCCGGAAGGTAATCGACATGGATGAGGAGCTGACGGGGCTTAGCAAGTACTATCGGGCCTACCGCGGTTACTCTCAACATGTCAAGAAAGCAATTGCACGAGCTGAGGAAACGGCTAACATGGTAAAGGATTATAATTCAAGCAGGGGCAGACAGCGTGGGTCGAGTGTGCGTGAGAAAGAATGGGAAGGGGCAGGGGCAGCCACCAGATTGCTTAATTCCAAAGTGGATTAAGAAGGAAAACAAGAAACCGGGAAGGGGTGTACTGGTCATTCGACCCCCCCCCCTACTCCTCTTTTCTTCTTTCTGATTTTGATCGCTATTTGTGGTAAAATATTAGGAGGACTACTTTCCTTCAGTGGTGCGACACCATCCTTTGCATTAGAGAGTATTTTTCAAATTCTTGAAATTGCTGCCAAGCATCCTGTCAATTTTAGGTATGAACACTGGGCATCACCACAATAGGCTATTTTCGTAAGGTAACCAAATTAAATACATACGTCTTTGTGAAGTGCCTCAATACAAATCATTTCATTCACGCAATAAGAATAGAATTTCAATAGTCAGAATGCAAGCTGCATACTAGTGTCGCTGGGTAGGACAAGCAATTATGTTCGTCCTACCTGGCAACTACTAATGTATGCAGTTCGGATTCTGTCTATTGAAATACTATTATTCTTATCAGGTGAATGAAATAGTTTGTATTGAGGCACTTCACAAAGACGTTTGCATCAAATTTGGTTACATTACGAAAATAGCCTTTTACTATTCAATGTGACTGTTCTCAAAGCAAGGCAAAGGCACTTTTAATATTTATACAGCAGGCTAACTGTAAAGTCTATCACACTGCCTATATCATAGTCATGGTGCGACTTTAAGTTGAAGTAGGCCTATCAAAAAAACCTTACATAACATCTCTCAAGAGAATCTTTATTTTTTTAAATCAATGTTTACTTTTCTTGTCTACAGGTCGACATGAGTCAGGAAGATGATTCCAACAACCGATTCTTCTCAGACATGACGCATCGCTTGAAGGTGATGGAGAGCAAAGCAGCGGAGGAGTGCGAGAAGAGGAACATAGAATTAGCGGAGATACGAGCCGATCAGCGGCTTCTTCGAGATCGATTTAATGGAGTCGAGAAAAAGTTGGATAGTTTCTTAAACGCGCTGACGGATATTATGGAGGGAAGAGCCGCCGATGCTGACTGAGACTCTACAGTTGAATAACCGGACCAAAGGGTTCGGGATTCGAATCCATGTCATGATACAAACATCCTTTAGCAAGACATTTATCTGCATGGATGGTATACAAGAATCCACTATCATCATTATCGAAAAATACATCGTGTGAAATAACTTTTATACCTAATTTGTTCTTACTCAGGTCACACGTTTGCTGAATATTATTCGAACAAAAGTGCAAAAGTTACGGTTTCAATATTTGTAGTTAGTCATCCAAAAGGGGGACTTGCAGATTAAAATCATATCTAATACACTATGAACATGACGGACAAAGAAAGAGAACAAAATATACGGTTCCTCATTCTACCCTCAACAATTGCTGTGGTAGACAAGGAACATCCCTTC